CGCGCGCGCGCGCGCGCGCGCGCCTGTCGTAAAAGTGTATTCCCTGCCTTAAAATATTATCGATTTTGTCTTAAGCCTCGAAAAACCGAGATGTCCCTCGGGACGCGAGGATACCTCGCCTCCTGTTGGGAACGAGATATTTCTCCTCGCGTCGGATTATCTTTCGGGGACCCTTAGCTCTGATTGGTAGAACGATCGTGCGATCGATCGTTCTAGCCGTTGTCAAGTGAGCTTATCTATTCCTCGTTCGCGACGATTGGTAGCCTGAGCTTAAACCCGAACTTTCGCCAACCGGCTTGCTGGTTTGTCTAGCGACCTTATCAGGTGAGTAGCCCAAGTGCCCTTCGACGAGCTTGACCGCTTGCCCGGTTCAATGAACCCCGCAAACGAGTCACTGCCGTGTCGCCGGGGTTAATTAATTGAGGTTACGACTTTCTCCGATTTGATTTACACCACATTGTATCGTTCGCCACCGAAGTTGATGAACTTTCTTCGAGCTCGGCCTCGTACGGCGAGATGATTTAAAATGAAGCCTTCGACCTTCGATTGAGATTCTTGGTAAAACTCATGATAAAGTAATATGAAAATTCATTGAAAGATATCTAAGATATATCCTAATAAATAAAATGAAAAAGGTGAAATATTTGGTAGTTTGCAAAGTTGACGAATCGTCGATAAAAATTATTTAAAACCTATATAAAAATATATATATAAAATATTAAAGCTAAATACGATTTTAGATAATCATATTTTTGCAAATAACAATTTCTCGTCAGCTCTCTGCTAACTACAAAATATTTCATCACTTTTTTTCACTTCACTGTAGGATATATATATTTTCCTGTTTTGACATACTGAGATATGCTAGATGAACTATTTTCTAAGTGAGGCTAGAATGCGCATCATCATCATTAATGCAATCTCTTTTTATCGCAACTATCCTTTATCTTTTAAGCAAAAGTATAATTAGAATAGATATAGATATTTATAGATCTTAGAGATTCTCACCAAGTTTCAACATAAGTGAGATTCTCGGTACACATGTTAGAGATTCTTGCTAGTTGTTGTTGTTGTTGTTCTCCGTTTTACGTTCCAACGATTTCGGAAATAGTTTGCGTCACGATAAATACATCGATTATATATTCGACATTCTACAAGGGCGCACTTTATTCACAAAAATCGATCGCGAGAGATACGGGATCCAGTTATTAATTACGCATGTATCTTCGCATCGGTTCGATGAACTCAGACAGGGTTAATTCGCTGAATTCAACTTTCTTCGAGCGAGACTTAATCCGCGAGATCTCGACTTGACATTGAAAGAATAAACCGTAAAAGTGAACCAAAAAAAAAAAAAATATCATGGAATAAGACACGTCAATAAACAATTTTAAAATTGCTTAATTTTTATGAGCTTTCTAAAATTTAAAATTGCATCAACAAAATATCAGATTAAAATAAGAAAAATATGTAAAAAGGTAAACATGAAAATTTAACATAAGCTGTATATTTATTTGCGCAGTCTGAAATGGACATTCCACTTTAAGAAATAAATTTTCTTGGAAAAGTCTAAATTTGCTTAATAATAATTAATAAACTTTTTGTCCAGGACTCGATTTCGTATTTCTCGATATCCGAGTATCTGAATCAGAGTCTGCGAGCTAAATAGAGACGCGTCTTTGTGAGCAGGTCCACGTGATGCGCGTCCGAAAGTTAATCATCAATCTGGGAAGAGACGAGCGGTCGCGTCAAGTGTTCTCGTAATAAACCGCGGCGGGCGGTGCGTCACACGTTTCGCGCGTGCGAAAGCGGAAAAGGCGCGCGATATAGCGCGAAAAAAGCCGGCGCGCCGCGGCCGCCGGGTCGACGAACCCGCGTAGGATTAATTTGGCGTGCGTTCGTAACTTCCTTCAACGAGACTTAACCCCGAGCGACCCCGACTTGACACCCGGGCGGAGCGGCGGCAGATATAAAAATGTCTGAAAATGAGCGCGACGCGTGTCGGCGGGGGACGGGGCGGGAGGGGGGGGGGGGGAGAGAGGAGGCGGGAGCGGGGCGTGATCGTCGTCACGGCGGTTAAAAGGACGCCACGTCGCCGCGCGAGTGTTCGCGTTTTCGCGCGTGCACGACGCGCGAAATCTGGAATTAACCCGGGTCCCCGGTTCGCGCGACGAGGTGACGAAATTAATTCGCGCAATCGTTCACGCGTGATTGAACGGTCACGCTTCGCAGCCACCCCCTTCAGCTGCGGAATAACGCGCGCTCGCTGCAACGGTCAATTACACGCGGCGCGACGTTAGCTTTGTGAAATCATCCCCGATTTGGATCAGATAGAGATCGTCAGCTTTGTCCTGTTGAGCCTGAGCCCGGGGGATAATTGTATCTTTTTTCTCTTACAATAAAAACTCCTTTACATTTGCGACCACGTGTTATTACGACAGGTTGACGGTGCTCGGGATAGAACAGGAGAAGCGATGGATATCACTGAAACGGACAGTCCTCATTTTTCTTCTCTTCATCCTTGCCCTGCATATAGCTTCTTTGCCTCCTTTCTCTTCGTTTCTTTTTTTTATCCTCTTTTTCATTTCTCCCGCTTTCATCGCTTCCTCGTGTCTTTTTATACTCGATGTGAAACGCCTGTCATACTGTCACAGGCTAAAACGCTTGAAATATAAGAAGAGACGATGGTACTCGTTTCGATTATTATTATTGTAAAATTTTTCTACATAAAGAACAAACAGGAACATTGTGTATACTAATATTAAAGATTATCTTCTAAAAATATTACGTTAGCTTTACAAGGAAATATGTATCTATACTGCTAAATTTGTGTATGGAAACTAGAATAGCATAATAAAAATTGAGAAATCGATTCTTCCATTAGGAACAAATTGATTCTAAAATGGACATAGAATCCAAAGCACAAGAAACATTAACAATTGTACATAAATATATTTACTCTATAATAATTTTATTATTTTTAATTAAATCTCAAGATGTAATAATAAAGTGAAGATCCCCAAGACAAACATTTCAAGAAAAAAGTTTCAAAAATAACTATTTTATTAAAAATATTTTATTAAAATCTAATTCAGAAGACTATGATACAAAATTTTTATATTTTTATATAACTTTATATATCTTATATCTTATCTCTTGTATATGATAAAGAAAATCTTTTTACGATGCGGTTGCTGCACGGAAATAATTTGCAATCGAAAGTAGCTTCCTCAAAAGATACGCAATTTCGAATGAACGACGAGCATCTCCTCACCTTTGTTTCTCGCTCTTTCTCATCTCGCCCCTTCCTCGCGCCTTCCTCCCTGCTCTTTCCTCCCTCTGGATACCGACATGTAATGAGCGGGCAGGGTTCAACGAACCCGGGATGACGTGACACTGCCACGCTGAGAATTTATTATCTGAAGCTCGTTGTTCAACGACCCTCACTTTTTTCGCGTGTATCGCGGATTCAAGCGCGTTCTTGGCTTAGTTTCTTCCCGATTTCCCTGGCGCGCCGTCATCACATGGTCACGGATGACGTACCCCCTGGCCGCGATGGGTTTTTCGCGGTGGACGTTTGTCGCGCGTGGCACACGCGCCAGCAACCGAACGGATGTGCGCTTTATGCAAGTGCTTTATCGTCCCGAGTTCGTTACCACTATCTTGGGGACGATAAAAAAATTCTGGGCACCATATAATAACATTTTAACCACGAGAAACGGATGGAGGATGATGCAATTTCATGAAAGCGCCTGGTATTTTATTTTTATGGTGTGTGTGTGTGTGTGTGTGTGTGTGTGTGTGTGTGTGTGTGTGTGTGTGTGTGTGTGTGTGTGGCGTGCGTGCGTGCGTGCGTGCGAAATATTAAAGCACTATTGCGTTTCAATACAACTTTCACATCGCTTCGTGGATTATTTTCACATTTACGAATCCTTAATAAACTGCAGATATATATATTCTTCATGGAAAGCTGGTAAATTGTAATGATTTATGTAGTAATAGGAAATTATGACCGACTATTACTGTTTCATGATGCAATACAAATATATATATATATATATATGAATATCGATATAGATATATTTTATGCGCGAATATATATTTTTTTTATTTTATATTCTTTCGAACTTTAAATATTAAGATTGACAATCTTGCGTTATGTCTTTATTACAAAAAATGAATATATGAATGTATTACCGGAATAAAAAATTCCTATTTTGAGATTCAGATCCATAATGATTCAGAATAAAGAAATGTTCATATTTGTGATCATCAAGTAGGTTGTTATATTTAATAATAATTTTATAATTTTTACGTTATTTAAAACCTATCTTTTACACTAATAATTAATAATTCTATTAATAATTCTATAATTAAATGATACTTCTCTCTTTTTAATAAACATATTTTTTAATTTTAATTATTTTAATTATTTATTTTAATTTTAATTTTTTAATTATTTGTATTATTAATTTTAATATAAACTGAATGTATATTATATAATAACTGGCTGTATAAAAATACATCATATTATAACGCGTGTAAAATTAAACAATGAAACAAATAATCTAACGAAATTCACAATACAATGATCGTGTTTTCGAGTAAATTAAAAATTTTTCGAATTATTTATTCATTATTTTTAAACTTATATTAATTGCAAATTAGTATTAATTTTTACTGTACATATACACAGCTTTAGTTCTTTTGTTTTTGTCGTTTTTGTAAACGTAGACGTTAAAATTAGTGATCGGTTAAAGTAATCGGTTAAAGAAATAAAGATGTACGATCTGATAATTAAGCAAACTCACACATACAAACAATATATGACAATATTTACATCCTAATAAGGAATTTAATACTTTTCTCTTCGACCTTTTATTCGTTATTTATTACATACTTGTTAGAGCGGTTTCACATCACATTTAGTCTTAAATACGCCGTCATACGAAACGATACCATGGCAAACAATTTGGACGACATTATGTGGATTAAAACATTATTAAAACATTACACTTTGGAAGATTCTTACCTACATTGTAATTATTGTAGAAAAATTTATCATGAAAAATCACTTTTAAAAATAATAAAAGAGCATTTACTTGATGAACATATAAACGATATAAATTGGGACATGGAAAATGAAGGATCAAATTCACATGATGAGGGTTCCGACTCTATAAGTTCGAATCATGCCGAGACAGACTCATCATATAATGAAAATTCAAACAGAATTTCTTTATATAAGGAAAATATAAAAAAATTTATAAAGTATACGGATGATGAATGCACAGAAGCAATATCATTGCAAGAAATGGGATCAGAAAGAGAATTAATTTCAAGCATAGATAATTCAACGCAAACAGATGAGTGAGTATGCACTTACCAATTAAAAATATAAATTGAAACAATTAACTTTAAAAAAAAAAAGATGTGACAAATATAAATTTTTAGAGTCTCTGTGTAATTACTTGCAAACGCGTGTTTCCGATTATAATATTTTTAAATAAATTTTATAAATTGTCAAATTAAATCAACTTTTCACGCGTTTTAACAAATATGAAAAAAATACATATATATTTATATGCTTTTTTACGTACACACAAGCACGCGTGTGCACACATATACATATTTATACATTTTACATTAAGAATGTTGATTTTTTTTTCTTGCTTCTAAGCTGTCGCAAACTTTCCGATCGTTTTATATTACAATTTGAATGTTCGTAATAAAAGCAACAGTCATCCTCGTAAAAACCGGTATCATCATTCGAATTAGAAATGTTTTTCAGAGTGTGTCTTCTTTACGAAACACTTGTACTTTTTAATACTCTTTGTATTTTTATAATCTTATTTTAATTTTCATGTCGGGTTTCTAAAAAGAATAATAATCAGAAATTATAGATTTCATTTGAACATAAGAAATTTGAATATAAAAAAAAAAAAATTGAGATTATAGAAAGTGATAAAGATGTATTGATATAACCGATATACCGAAATTTCAAGGATTTTACTGTTATCAAACGCAAACAAATATAGTTGAAAAATCGCGACATTGAAAAGGACGTTGGAAAAATTTCGAATAAATCGAGAAATGTTGCGTCTTGTGATATGAAAGGAGTCAATCGGCAGGTGAAAAGAGAAAGATTTTTCCAGCATCGTCGCACGAGTCTCTCCGGCATTGCGAAACGCCATTTCTCGGCGTAACGCACGCTAGGCTTAATTGCCGTCGCGGAATAACTCCCATAAGACGTCATTGTTATTATGAAGGCTTGTTCCTCGCGCGTTGATCATCGAGTGCGAACGCCTGCTTAGATCCCACGTCTCTTTGCTTTAACGACTCCGCGCGCAGATTCCACGAAGTGGACCGTCGAAATTTGCCTACTCAATTGTCCGCTAAGACGAACTTTTATTAGATGACTTGTGAACGTCTCGGAGCTTTAAAGCGGGATTAATCTCGCTACAGCTGTACCTTCGATAAAAACGTCGCGACGTACAATCAACGGCTTCGTTTTTTTTTTTTTTTTTTTTTATACTACGTCGC